GAAAGAACCTGTTCTGGGACAACACCACCCCCCCGTGGCTCTGAGCCTTAAATCTCCTTCCCGGGAATTCTTCCAGGCTGATGATTGCCACGTAGTGAACAGAAGGAAGAGATGTGATAGAAGAGAGCAAATTAGGAATTCTACAGTGAACAACAGCAACGCCAATCCTTAGGAATATAAATCCCACTGACAGCATCACTCCTATTTGCATCAGCTATTTCCCCACCCTGTGAGCCCCAGAGGTTACAAAAGCAAGACAAACCATGGTTCAGGACTCCATCCACCAAACCAGTCCATTGGTTGCATTACCAGAACAATCCCAATGTTTGCTCTGCACTTTTGTTCACCTTGGCTTCCTCTGTGGAAGTAGCAGCGTTGAGGACACAGCATTCCCCACTGGTGAAGTTTAATATTCCACATATCCCTTGTTCCTTTAATCACAACATGCCTAACGCTGATGCATTCTGCAGTGTCATCTTCACAGCCTGCTGAGCCACAGGTTTAATTCTCCAAGAGCACATCTTGTCCTGTTACTCAGAGCATGTACTTGCCAAGCTAAATTTCCTAGAGCCCATTGGTGTCTCATTATTACACTTCTGGGAGAGAAACCTGCCTCAAGCCTGAGGGCCAAAGTCATTCCAAAGGTAGAATCACAGAATCATGGAATGGTTTGGGTTGAAAGGGACCTTAAAGCTCATCTCAGTCCACCCTCTGCCATGGCAGGGGCATCTTCCACTCTCCCGGGCTGCTCCAAGCCCTGTCCAACCTGGCCTTGGACACTTCCAGGGATCCAAGGGCAGCCACAGCTTCTCTGGGCACCCTGTGCCAGGGCCTGACCACCCTCACTGGGAACAATTTCTAACCTAACCCTGCTCTCTCTCAGTTTGAAGCCATTCCTCCTTGTCCTGCTGCTCCAGTTCCCGATGAACCCCGGTGGATCCTGTTGGGCTTGATGTGGGACAATGCAGGTCCCTGCTCCCACTGGTGGGTCCAGCTGGGCTCTGCAGGGCCTGCACAGGCATTGTTCTCCTTCCCAGGCTTTGCTGGCTTTCTGGGACCCCTGCTCCCTCCCAAAGTGCTCAGGGGCTCTGCAGAACTTCCCATGGAATTGCACAGACCCCTGCTCCTTCCCAGTGGGATCTGATGGAGTTTCCACAGGACAGTGTGGACCCTGTTCCCTCCCAGGAGCACGATGGGTTCTGCTGGGCTTTGCCCATGTCCACACAAGCCTCTGCTCAATTCTGAGCCAGCTGCAGATCTCTCCACGCTCTGCCCGGCCCACAGGAGCATCTGCTCCCCACAAAAGCCTCAATCAGCCTTTGGCAGATCTCTGGGGTCTCTGCTCCCTCCCATGGCTCTGCCAGCCTTTCTGCATGCCAGATGACCCCTTCTTCCTCCTGGGGCACTTCAGAGCTTCTCCCTTCCCTGGGTTTCATGCAGCCCACAGGTGACCCCACTGTGGGCTCTATCAGCCTTTTCCTGTTCTGCAGGTGCTCTGTTCCCTACCAATGGGCACTGCCACACTTTGATAGAACCCAAAAGCTTTTGGGTTCCCACCTCATGCACACCCTGGAGGGAGCAGCGACCCCACAGTGCGTTGGGACCCCACCAGTCTCCCCCTTCTCCCCACCATGGTTCCAGTGCCAGTGGTTCCCTGGCACAGACACTCAGTGGGGACTCAACGTGCTCACTCCACACCAAACACCCTTTATTCACACCTGCAGGCCCGTGTTCAGGGACAGCAACAGTCCCAGGGTACTCCAGTCCCCGCAGGGATCCTCTGTCCCCTCGTGGCTGGTCCCTGGTCCTCAGGGTCCCTCAGCGGTCCTTCCTGCGCAGCGGTGGGGACGGGGGGTAGTGGCGGGCAGGTGGCACGTCATAGTGACAGGGGATGTGGCTGTTCTTGGGGGAGTCGTAGTGGCTGGGGGGTTCTCTGTGGGGTGGGCTTTCAGGACTACTCTCTGTGGGGACAAGAGAAGGCTGCAAGGGGACACATTTCCCCCAGGGTCATGAAGCCCCCATCACCAATGTCCCCCTGTCACACCAGGGTCATGTCCCCCCTGTCACCAAGGCTGTTTCCTCCCCACAGGGGTTGTGTCCCCACTGCCCAGGGCCACCAAGCCCAGGGGATCCCCAGCCCTACCCTCTTGTGGCGGCTCCTCAAGGAGCCCGATCTCAGCGTAGGACATCTCCCTCTGGACAGGGGATTTCATCTCCATGTAGCTGCCCTCGTGGGCCTTGGTGATGGCAGGGGGCAGCTCCTTGATGGTGGCGTAGGGGTTCTCGCTGGCCAGGGAGTTGGTGCTGGCCCCCAGCCCCTCCCAGGGGTGCTCTGGGGGAGAAGCAGTTGGGGATCCCCCCATGGCAGGGAGCACAGGGGAGAAGGAACAGCTGTGTCCAGATGTGTCTCCCAGCCCCATCACTTTCCTATCTCATCCCTGTCCCTTCTCCATCTCCATCCTAACCCAGTCCTGTTCCAACCCATCCCCAAACCACCCCTGCCTTTTCCCCATCCCAGCCCCGTCTCTTCCCCAGCCCAGGCCATTCCTGTCCCTTCCACATCCCAGCCAACTTTGTCACTTCCCCATCCCATCCCATCCCTAACTCAATCCCATCCCCAACCCTTTTCCCATACCTGCCCCAGACCCAGATTATCTCTTCCCCATCCCTATCCCTTCCCCACCCCATCTCCATCCTTTCCCCATCCTATCCCTGTCTCTTCCCTATCCATCCCACTCCTACCTTTGCTCTCACACTTCCTCAGGCCATGGCTGTAGGTGTAGCTCCGCTCCATTTGCCTGCCTGTTAAGAGAGCAGATTTGGGGTCCCCTCTGCTTCATCTTTCCTCTCAGCATGAAAGTTCTCCACACACCCCATCCCAGCCCCTTCCCAGGGGATCCTGAGCACTCTGGCCAAGATCCACACTGGTGCTGCCCACCCTCCTCCTTACCCCTGGGGCCCAGGGCTGATGCCCCGAGGTGTTTCCAGTCAGGAGGCAGCGTGGCATTGCCTTCAGAGCTGTAGGGTCTCTCCATGCTGGGGAAGAGCTGGGTGCCAGGCACCTGCAGCCCAAAAAGGGGAGAGGTTGGCCTCGAAGGTGATGGCAGCGGTGCCATGCTGCCCCATGCTGTCCTGTGCCACACCCTGCCATACCTTGAGGGAGCTGGCTCTGTCCTGGGGGCCGGGGGCTGGCAGTGGGCACTGGGACAGGGTGTGGTAGCTGGGGTTGGAGTAGTAGTGCGCATGGTGGCTTGGGGGTACATCTGCAGGGACAGCAGTCAGCCTGGTGTAAGAGGGCCACCGGGGCTGGGGCCACGTGTCCACCACGCCGGGCTGACCTGGCACCATGTAGTCAGAGGTGTCCGTCTGTCCTGCTCTGTAGGCCACAGCCAGGTGCCGCCGCTCCTTCCCCTTCTGCCAGTGATGGTAGCACAGGGCTGTGACCACCACAGCCAGCAGCAATACCACCAGGGCCACCAGGCTCAGCACCATGCCCAGGGGGCTGTAGGCTGCAGGGGGGGCTGGCTCGATGGTGTAGGGCAGGTCAGGATTCCCTATGGGGTGAGGAGGAGTGTCAGTCCTTAGGGTGGGGGAGAGAACCCGGGGAGCCCCTGCTCTGCCCCCACTCACCAGCCTCACAGTGGGGCCCGGTCGTGCCCGGGGCACAGGGACACGTGCCATTGGTGGGGTCACAGGTGGCGTTGTGGGGACAGTGGCAGAGCTGCTCACACTGGAGCCCAAAGGTGCCGGGGGCACAGGCTGGGGACACAGTGGTACCATTTAGCTCCATACTGGTTCCATTCAGCCACAAGGACCATGGAGGTCCACAGGGGCCTCTATGGCTCCGTACTGCCCAGGCCAGGACTGCACAGGAGTCACCCAGGTGGCCACGGGCAGCTCTCTCTCTTGCTCCCTCCAGACCCCCCCATCTGAATCAGGGGCACCTTGCTGCCCACTCCTCACTCCCCCCTGCTCCCCACTCACGCTGAGAGCAGCGGGGACCACGCCAGCCTGGGGAGCAGAGGCAGGAGCCATTGGTGGGGTGGCAGGAGGAGCCATTGTCGCAGGAGCAGCTCAGCGAGCAGCGTTTGCCATAGCGGCCAGCAGGACAGGCTGGGGGGACAGGAACGAGCCTGGGCTCAGCTCAGGGCTTAAGGATCAGGCTGGGAGCAACCCGGAGTTTTGGGGGGTGTTCACTCACGGCGCTGGCAGGTGGGGCCGCGGTACCCCGGGGTGCAGGTGCAGGATCCATCCTGGGGGGAGCAGGAGGCTCCGTTCCGGCAGGAGCAGGACATGAGGCAGCCCCGGCCCCAGGAGCCGTGGGGACAGCCCTGCTTGCACTGCGGCCCTGCAGGGACGGTGAGGGATGAAGGCCATGGCTGAGGGCACAGTGGGGTGCTCCCAACACCTGGAGTCCCCTTTACCTGTCCAGCCGGGCAGGCAGTGGCACTCTCCCGTCCCTGGGTCACAGCCATCAGCGTGGGCGCAGACACAGCGCTCCCCGCAGCCTGCCCCAAATGTCCCGTTCTGGAGCATGGGGACAGGCTGGGCAGTCAGCGCAGGGTGGTGGCACCGAACCCCAGTGCCAGCAGCACCAGCACAGCCAGAAGGACTCACCGGGCAGGGCTGCAGGCAGCGAGGGCCCTGCCAGCCTGGGGGGCAGTGGCAAGTCCCACTCTGGGGGTCACAGGATGCCCCATGGGCACAGTCACAGCTCCGGTTGCAGCTGGGACCCCAAGTACCAGCAGGACATGGCATTGAGCAGTCAGGTCCGTGCCAGCCTGTGGGATGAGAGGACAGTGGGGCGGGTGCGGGGGTGGGGATAGGGACCCCCCAGACCCTGGTGTGCACCCACCTTCCTTGCAGAAGCAGGAGCCGTCGAGTGGGGAGCAGGCGAGGGCGTGCTGGCAGGAGCAGCGCCCTGAGCAGTTCATCCCAAAGGTGTTGGAGGGACACAGGGAGGAGCAGTGCTCATCCTGGGTGTGGGGACCAAGAATTCAGGACAGACGGGACCCCTGCCCAGGGTCGGGGAAAGGACCCACGTGTCTGGACACCACCCACCTTCTCTTGGTAACTGTAGGGAAAGGGGACAACCCCAAAACCCCCATTCTCCCATGGGAACCCCAAGCTATCCGCAGGGTTGCCCTGATCCCCAATTTGCCCCCTAAGGATGCCCACATACTCTGTCCCCCCAAAGGATGCCCAGATCTTCAGAGATAACCAGACCCCCATCCCATCCCTGAGGATGCCCAGACTCCCATGTTTCCCTCAGGGATGCCCAGGCCCCATGTTTGCCCAGCCACCAAACCATCCAGACACCCCCATTTCCCCCAGAACCATCCAGAGCCCCACGATCCCTCCAGCACCACCCAGACCTCCACTCTCCCCGCCATGCCCCTCACCGTGTAGCCAGGGGGGCAGTGGCAGTGGCCAGTGGTCCCATCACAGACCCCCCCATGGAGGCAGAGGCAGCTCTGCAGGCACCCGGGCCCGAAGTAGCCATGGGGGCAGCTCTCATTGCAGTAGAGCCCAGCCCAGCCAGGGAGGCAAACACATTCCCCAAGCATCGGGTGACAGCTGGGGGTGCATGCTCAGAACCCCAGTGCTCCCAGTGCAGGGCACTGGCTGTGCTGGGAAGGGGCTTTGCAAACAGAGGAGCACAAAGCACCTGCCCCAGGTGGGGATTAAATGTTCCTCGCCATGCAGCCAGTACCTGGCTGGCTGGGTGAGGGTGCAGGGGGACAGTGTGGTGGGGAAGGAATTAGGGGAGGGTGAGATTGGTGCAGAGGGAGATGAGGATGGTGGGGGAGATGAGGACGATGGGAGATGAATATGGTGGAGAAGGCAAGGATGGTGGGAGGAGCTGGGTGGGATGGGGGAGCTGGGGTGTGATGGGGATGCTGGGGTGGAATTGGGGTGCCAGGATAAGATGGGGGTGTTGGGGTGGAATTGGGGTGCCAGGATAGGATGGGTGTATTGGGGTGGGATGCAGATGTTGGGGTGGAATTGAGGTGCCAGGATGGGATGGGGATGCTGGGGTGGGATTGAGGTGCCAGGATGGGATGGGGATGCTGGGGTGGGATGGGGATGCTGGGGTGGGATTGAGGTGCCAGGATGGGATGGGGATGTTGGGGTAGGATGGAGAAGCTGGGGTGGGATGGGGGTGTTGGGGTGGGATGGGGATGCTGGAGTAGGATGGAGATGATGGGGTGGGAT